CAGCCCGATTCCTCCCACCCCCTGAAGCAGCTTCCCCAGTCTCCCGCCCTCCAGATGCGCTGGACTTCCACGCCAGCAACGGGCAGGCTGACGGGGACGATGGGGCTTGTAGTTCCCCGCGCACAGAACGCTCCCCGTTGGGGGAAGGACGCTTTAACCACCGAACCTGCTTTTTTTAAATCCAACCTTTTCTTGGAGGGACCCGTGGAAAGCGGAGCGGCATGCCACAGAAGCAACCGCAATCATCATCATCATCACCATCCGTGCAAGGTCCCAGCAAGGCCGCCTGTTACCTGCTGCAACTCGGACGCCTCTTTTCTGCTTCCCTAAATGTTGCAGCACCCCTTGGCTGGGGGGAGGGAGAAATGGAGGGCGGGGGGTGCAGCCGAACCCCCCACCCCGCCGCCAAGCCGGCGCTGCTCAGCGCCCCCGCTCAGACCGGGTGCCAAGGCCGCCCCCGAAGGCGCGGACGCCGGAGCTCCATAGACGCCGCCGGCCGGATCTTGCAGCCTCGGCTGGAGGAAGGCCGGCCCCTCCGAGGTCGCCGAGCGGGGAGCGCGGGAGAAGGAAGAGAGGGAGAAAAGAGCAGCCTTCTTTCGGGAGGCCTCGGCGAGGCGAGGCACCGGAGCCATCTGCTGGCCGCCCCGCCCTGCCGAGCGGGAGAAGCAGCCGCGCGCGCCCCAGCGGGGGTGGGGTGGGGACCCCAACGCCCACCATCCCCAGCCAGCAGGCTGGTCGGGGATGGCGGGAGTTGCAGTCCCAGCCAGCAGAGGGTGGGAGTGGGAGTTGCAGGCTGGTTGGGGATGGCGGGAGTTGCAGTCCCAGCCAGCAGAGGGTGGGAGTGGGAGTTGCAGGCTGGTTGGGGATGGCGGGAGTTGCAGTCCCAGCCAGCAGAGGGTGGGAGTGGGAGTTGCAGGCTGGTTGGGGATGGCGGGAGTTGCAGTCCCAGCCAGCAGAGGGTGGGAGTGGGAGTTGCAGGCTGGTTGGGGATGGCGGGAGTTGCAGTCCCAGCCAGCAGAGGGTGGGAGTGGGAGTTGCAGGCTGGTTGGGGATGGCGGGAGTTGCAGTCCCAGCCAGCAGAGGGTGGGAGTGGGAGTTGCAGGCTGGTTGGGGATGATGGGAGTTGCAGAGCTGTCTGATCTGGAGGGTGCTAGCTGAGTCCTGGGCAGGCAGCTTACGCTCTTCAACCTAGCGCCCTTCCCTTCAAGGTGGCAGGCCAAGGTTGAGAAACACTGGGCTAGACTGATCATTTCTGGCTGGTTTTTGGACTGTCATCCAAAAACCATAATCAATTCCCAGGATGTGGTCGGGGATAATGGGACCTGTAGTCCAACAACTGATAAAGCCAAGGGCTGGTTGGGACCTCCAAACTAAAACTCCATGAAGGTCTTAGGACAGTCACTCTACGCTCACACTTTTAAAAATGACAACAGCTGAGCCCAATCTTTTATATTTGTGGATCAGCACTTGAGTATATGTTATGCTTGCTTGTTTTTTGAGAGGCCCAGGGTAGAAGCAAGGTTTGGCCCACCGTCCAAGCATTTGTACGGTTTTTCATGTCCAGGCCCCCCCGTGCATGATCAAAAGGCCCTTCCGACAGAAGCTTTTCCCACAATCCAAACATTTGTAGGGTTTCCCTCCTGAGTGGATCCTCTTGTGCCTCTGGCTGAAGCTTTTCTTGCAAGCCCCACATTTATGGCGCTTCTCCCCATGTGGATTTGCTTCTGAGGGGTCAGATTGCCCTTATGAGTGAAGCTCTTCCCACATTCTCAGCACTGATGTGGCTTCTCACCTGTGTGGATCCACTTGTGAAGCACCAGCTGGGCGCTGTTGTTGCCGCAGTAGGTACATTCATGCATTTTTCTTGCATCTTCTGGATCTTGGGGAGGTGAACGTTTCGAGAGGTGGTTCTTCCATAGTTGGTGCTGGTCTGTTTCCCCACGTAGTTCGAAAGTCCTTCCTCTAAGATGCTTACACTGAAGACTTCACTGCACTTATTCCACAGATAAAGCTTGCTTTGAAATCCTTTAACTAACACAAGCCACAGTTGTTTTACTGAGATCACAGGAAGTTCACAAGAGAAGACAAAAAGGTTGCAAGCACATCAGCATTTGATTAAGTTGGTCGCACATGCCGCTGTCTTCTCAGGAGAACACAGAAGTTCGCAACCCTTCCCGTGTATCTTATTTGGAGTGGCTGGTTAGCAAATAAACATCTGGTTTTTTTGTTTATAAATTCACTCTTGAATCAGGCATGAGGAATCACACAAAGAGCGCTCCACGCAGATTCGCTTTTCTCCCAAGACTTTGCTGATGCCTCTGAGCGACCTTCTCAATGGCTTTTAGCAAATTCTCAATGGAAAGCTACTCGGGGTGCGCTCTCCTCTGGCTTCAGCTATGTCTGCTCCTATCTGCTGATTTGGGGCCCATGCCTAAAATCTAATCCAGTGTTTCTCAACCTTGGCCTCTTTAAGACGGGTGGACTTCGACTCCCAGAATTGCTGGCGTGCTGGCTGGGGAATTCTGGGAGTTGAAGTCCACCCGTCGTAAAGTGGCCAAGTTTGAGAAACACCGTAAATACCTCGCAGAATTTGTGAACCGCGAGGAGCGTGAGCGCCGCGTCCGCCTCTCCCACCTGCCCGTGGGAATGCACGGCCCGGCAATGCTCACCCCTGCCGGCCCGCACAGCCTCCAGAGCGACAGCCCTGGAAGGCCGGCCGCCGGATAAACAGGAGAATCAATAAAATAAAATAAAACAAAAAAAAACAAGGCAATCTCCTGCAGCCGAGCGGTTGCCTCGCAAGAGAACGCCTCCGCTTTGCGCCTGGATTTCGGGTTGGCAGGGAAGGGCTCCCGCGGAGCCTCTCCGGAGCAAGGTACTCAGTGGGTTAAACAGAGCGAGAGAGGCTGCTTGCTAGAGAGGCCCGGGACGCGGAGAGGGGTTTGGGGGGATTTAAATACTCGATGCACCTTCCTGTGCTGTTTTATCTGCCCTGGGGGGCGGGGGGAACTGGCGTCGGGGCTGGTCCGGAGGAGCTGGTCGGGCGAGCCGCGCGTGGCCAGGGCGCGGGGGGCG